CATTGTCAAGCTGGAGCCATTCAATCCTTTGATTTCCCTCCAAGTTGGCTGAACAGGGGAAATAAAGTAAGGAATAGCCTTGGGGGTCTCGTTAAGAGAGTCATCTCTTGTTTAACAAGGGATAGAAATTAAACCATTTGCCTTCGAGCATCTTGAAGTGTACCACTAAATCTAGAACAACTGAAATTGAAAAATTTTGACTGAATGGAAAATTAGGTTAGTTGCAGAGATGAAAAGAGAACATTCTTCTAGCACAGTGGCATATGTAAAGGCTCCAGGTCCCAAAATCATGTGTTAAGCAACTGAAATAACTGTGGTCTGATGACAAGAACAGAGTACCAGGAATCAGGAGTCATGAGTTGCATTTTTCACTCTGTTAGTGACATAAGAATTCATCAGCAAAAGCATTTCAGATTTTCTGAAAGTAGCTTCTAATTTAGAAAATCAGATTCTAATGCCTGAATTTGATTTTCTGAAGATCTGAGCAACCACATCCCCAATTATCTCAGTTTGAATTGTGGATGTTTTGTACTTATTGACTGCATACACATGTTCAGATAATCTGGGAAAATTCTCCCAAGTTTTTCTCTTGGATGTAAAACCTTACCCAGAGATACCTGAACAGACATTTGAATGCAGAGCCCTGGAAAAACAGAAACCTTGCAGTGCTGATGCTGCACAGCCAGAGGAGCCTTGTGAACAGATCTCAATGTGCTGTGTAGACTCCCAAGTCTGCCTGGTGATTGATGGCAGCAGTACACAGGGAAGCCCTGACTGGCTGACCCAAACTGATCAGCAGGGATCCAGGTTTTCTGTTTCCTGCGGAAAATGGGAAAATGTAGATTTTCCCCTTTAGCTGACAAAAACATAGATTTTTCATTTTAATGGAGAAACACGTGGATTTCCTACTTCTGCATAGAGCTCTCTGCAGGCTGGCAGAGTTCCAGCCTGCAAGGGGCTGGGGGGAACAGAAGTAGGGCAGTCAGGCAGGGAGCACCATGTCCATGTGTGCACATATGCATGCGCATGGCTGCCAGGCAGCCTGGAGAGCAGTTTCCACAGGTAAGTGTGGCAATTGAGGCCCCCATAGGGAGGGAGGGAGTTGGGAAGGGCTGGAGCTGCTGCCCACACTCCACTCTGCCACAGCTGCCACCATCTCCTGCGGGCAGCAGATGGGGCTCAGGTGCTGCTGCGGAGGTACAGAGGGCAGGGGATTTGAGGCTGTGGATGGAGAGTGAGGGGCTGTCGGGAGTGAGGGGCACCAGCAGGGCTGGGGTGCCATGGCCTGGGAGTAAGGGGCCTGGATCTGCATCCTGGTGAGCGAAGGGGGCTGGGGGAGCTCTGATTTTCTGTGATTAAAAAAAAATGAAAATCGAATACCAAAATTTATAGTTGCTTAGAATATATTTTATTATAGTGATTGAGGCACTGGTAGGCTTCCAAATTGCTTTAACATTGTAAATATATTAATAAAACATTGTGTTCAATTGAAACCTATATGTATAGTGGCATTTCATTTTAATCGCAGAATTTGGGGGTTTTAATCAGAGAATTTGTGATTTTTAAACAGAGAAAACCAGGATGCCTGTTGATAACTCAACCTGTGTCTACTTACAGCACAACTTTGGATTGTGAAAGGAGTATGTTCTACCCTGGAGCAGCAGTCCAGTGAGCAACACACTTGCTCTCTGGGGGTGGCAGGGGTGGAAGCAAAGCACCCAGGGATGCTGGAAGACTGCTGTGGCTTCTGTTAGAAGACATTATGTATAGATGTTTGCTGGGGGCAATTTAACCCTGGTCGTTTCCAGATTATTTTTCTGGTAGAACAGCCATTTTTACCCTGTAAGAAAAATCCTGAACATCTGTACAAACATTTGCCTATATGTGGCCCTTAAATGAGATCCAAGACGTCTAAACTTGAGCATCCAAAATTTGACATAAACGTTTCAGTATCTGAATGAACTACTAATATACTATAAATATATGTGCTAGAATAGAATAATATATTGAAATATATTTTTACATACTTTGTGTGTTGTGAGGGGTGGGGGAGTTGCATTTCAAGTGTGCTCCACGGTTGTGGATAGAAAGTGCTATGTACTGACATAACAGTTATGATATGTATTATTGATAGATCCCATCTATTACTTTTTCAAACTCATCTGATTATTTTGCCTTAGTCTGAACAAAACAAAGGAGAGAGATTAGAGATAGCAAGAATATATCATTAGAATGCCTGAAAGACTAAGATTCTTTAGTACAGTGTAAACAGTATTCAGTCACGGCTAAAAGAAATATGTATAGCAAGTATTTTGTATGCAAGTCGCAATCATCCCCTCATCATTTCTTCTATCAGTGGGAGGAATTGTGAGGTTGTCGTGAAAAAATCATTCCCAGTTTTTGAGTGAGTTAAGAGGATGGCATAGCCAAAAGGCCAGTCATTCATTATTCACCTAATCCAGCAAAACTGCTATTGTTAGTACATTTTATAGTTTTTTTTCTTCTGTTATTTCCAAAGCTGGGAATATTGAGTTTGACAGTAAATTTGCACCACAATGTACTGTATTAAATCATCACTGCTGACACCAGTCTTTCCCTGTGAAATGGGTTAAAATATCAAATGAATAGTTTAAGCCAGTATCTGCAGCAAGCCCTTGAAGACCACTGAGTGGGAATGTGCCTTCCCACAGATAGTTCTTTAACTCTTTACTGGTTCTCTCTTAGGATCATTTGAGAGAAAGGAGCCCAGTGCAAGGAAGGTTTTGAGATGGCAATATAGGAGTCTTTTTAACTATTCATTTCCCTCTGACGTTTTCAAGTTTAGAGTACTTATGCTGTAAATAAACTGCTGCAGGGCTCAGAGCGTCATTTGTGCATCCCTCCCCCTAGCCACCTGCTGTACTAAACACTCCCTGCATTCCTAATTGGAAAGCTGATTGTATCTTGAATTGCCTTTCTTTCCATTTCTATAGAAGCCAGTTATGCCTCTTTCCATATGAAGCTCTAAAGTGTGTATGTGCATGTGTATTTGGCTATCCCGCTGAAGAATTGTAAGCTTCCACTCACTTCAAATAAAGTTGTGTGGGGTTTCTGTTTTCTTTGGGGGGTTTTTATCTTGTCAAGATCTTGCCATAGTAATGCTGTTTAGGGTCAAGGGTCTCCTCACTAAACCCAGGAGAAAGCAAAAAGCGGAACAGATTTTAAACAGCCAGCCAAACTATATTTATGCATAAATATGTTATTGTTTTATAAAGAAGGCAGGCTGCAAACCTCAGGCCGCTTTTTGTTGGCAAGATACTGCTTAAAATATTTAAAACATATTTGATAATGGTATCTTTCTGTTTTTCTTTCTCATGATTTAAATCAACAAAAGTAAATAGTCCTGTTGTTTGTTGCATTTTATACTGCTATGAGCTGATCAGATCTCTCAACCTGAGCAGGGTTAGGCCAGGGAACCCTCAAGGAAATGTCTGGTTTTGCAGGAAGTCATAAAGAAGGTGGGAGAGTGAACTGAATGTGAAGACACACAAATACCATGAATATCTGAAATATTTGGCCACCCAGTTTAGTCTAAGTGATGTTCTAATGTAATGAGCAGCCACTGCTCTATATTTAAAACACACTTGCCCCCATACTAATTGCCCCTGTTGAGGTCATGAGCAAAAAGAGAGACTCAACAACAACTCTTCCTGGTCATTGGAGTGAAATCCCAAAATTATTCAGGCTCATGGCTCATCAGCCTTATTCTTGTTACTCACATCTGGTATTGGGAGCAAGGAGAAGAGCAAATGTCACCTGCCATAAGACTCACCTGGGAAGCTGTTTTTTTGCATGGGGTCTCCTTCCACAGAATAACCTTGTCAAACTTGTCTTCAATAAAGTGAAGAAAAAAAATACCCTATCCCTCTTCTGATTTTGAGAAACAGAATCAGCTTCTCTCCTTTGGCTTTATATGGATGGAAACAATAAGTTGCTTGTACTGTCTTAGATCAGTATTCAGTTTTCTGAGGTCTCATCAGGTAAGAGTATAATGCATCACCACATATACTTTGCCCAGGTGCTGGGCACAACATGCTTCATGTAATATGTAGATAGAAAAGATACCCTTATCAAAGTCTGGGAGTCATCTATGACCTGGCTTACCATCCCATGATCTTAGATTCCTAGATTCATAGAAGTAGGGTCGGAAGGGAATTTGTAGGTCATCAAGTCCGACCCCCTGCCCTGGGCAGGAGAGAAAACTGGGATCAAATGACCCCAGCCAGGTAGACATCAAGCCTCCTCTTAAAGACCCCTGGGGTAGGAGCCATCACCACTTCCCTTGGAAGTTGGTTCCAGATCCTAGCCACCCTGACTGTGAAGTAGTGCCTTTTAATGTCTAGTCTAAACGTATTCTCTAACAATTTGTGGTCATTGTTCCTTGTTACCCCGGGGGGCACTAGGGAGAACAGGGTCTCTCCCAAACCCTGCTGGTCCCCCCTGGTGAGTTTTTATAGACGGCCACCAGGTCCCCCCTCAGCCTTCTCTTGTGAAGGCTGAACAGGGTAAGGTCCCATAGCCTCCCCTCGTAGGGACTGCCCTGCTGCCCCCCTGATCATGCGAGTGGCCCTCCTCTGGACCCTCTCAATGCTGTCCACATCCCTCCTGAAGTGCGGCACCCAGAACTGAAAACAGTACTCCAGACTGAACACAGTACTCCAGTACTTGACATCTGTGTCAAATGAGTTTCTTATTCCATAAACCCTTCTGAAGTTGAAAAGTGAAATATTCCTCTTTCTCCATTTTGAATTTATAGTAAGGTAATCTGGAAGGCAGAGGAATGAACCACTCTTTACCATTCAGCACCAGGGCCTGGGTCTGATTCTGCTATGTACTGCTTCTTTGGTATTCTGAGACCAAAATACATGATGCACCATGTTTCCTGAGCCCCTGCACAGTGTTTCCTGTAGTCTAGCAGAGTTTCAGCTCTGGAGACTTACATGGGCAGTACCAACTAAGAAATCATCTGTGAGATAGACAAGGTACTTTCTGACATTGCTAAATAAGTGAAGATTTTAGATATTCAAGGATAAGGAACATTAAGAAAATTGGTAGGGAAACCTACCAAGCTGAGAGAAAGCATGGTAGTTCAAATTCCTACTAATAGCTAACATTGCAGCAAGGATGAAATTAATGTCGTATAGACCGAATCCAGTCTTTGTTTCTATACTCTGCTTGGTTGACTCAACTTCTACATTTTCAGCTGATGATAGATCTGTCAGTTACTGATCATAGTGCAAATTGGCTTGTGCGCCAGGTTCCATTTAGCAAGTGTTATGATTTGGAATAATCTAACATTACTTTGCTTCAAGCTGTCTAGATCTGCCTGCTCTTTTGTCTTGAAATCTGTGTCCCATCCTGTCACCCCCTCTCCCCCTTTATAAAGAGTGAACAAGAAATAATTACAAAGGCTAGGCCAATTTTTTTTATGATTCATCTCTAGATCAAAGTTAGAAATATATACAATTCCTAGTCTCACATCACTTAGAAAGCACTGGGGATCAATCAGTTCTTTAAGTGGTGTTCATTTGTTATATCTTTGGCACTGCATCTCACATTTATGTTTTTATGCAAAGTTTTTTAAGTAAAGTCTTGGTGTAGACTCTACATTCATAATAGACAGTTTTGTGGAAACCTCCCTCACCTGTATTGTTCATATGGCACGAACCTGCTGTCAGTGAGCTTGTTAACATATTTAAAGCTGAAGATAGAATAAAGTGTGAAAATAAAAGCAATAAAATGAACTATATGTTTGACAATAGCAGCTACACTGGCTGTGCTAAAGAGGTCATTGTTCAGTAAGTACATTCCTCTCTGTATTCAGACCACTTAAAGAAACAAGATCAAGGGGGACACTTGGAGATAAAGTGGACTTTGTAATTAGTGCATATAGCAGAACCCAGATGGAGACTCATCTGTGCTAGCAAATGTCCACAAGCCACACATTGCACTCCATGTAAAAGTGTAATAATAATCATAAAGCTTTCTTGGTTATCTCAATAAGATGGGTAGGAAAAATGAAATTGATGTTCCTTTAAAAAAAACTAGACCCATAGGTAATTCAAAACAGCCAAAGAATCTTCATCACTTGTTGGTCATACTAAATTTTATATTGTTTTTGCAGGCCAGCCACTCAGTAGCATATGATCAGTTTCAAGTACTTGAGCACATCTGTTTCAAGCAGGAAACAGTGGACAAGGCAGTGCAAATGAAGGGGAGATTGGCAGCAGTACTCTAGGTGGTACTTTACCATAATAAATAGTATATTCAACAGATGTAGAATTAGTGTGGCTAGTTTCTATGCCATTGTTCCTTCCTCCACAGAGGGAGCTGGCATATGTTCTATTATGTGCCTTACAAGCTGCTATGACTTGGAGCTATCATCCGGCAGATAATCAAGAAACTATAATCAGCTGATCTTGGTGGAGCTTAGCATATAACAACTTGCTGGTATAGTATATACAAAACCATAAGGATGAGACTTTCTGAATAAAAAAGGATTATTTTACATTCGCATGTACAGTAAAATCTCTGCTATCTGGCATTCAACTAACTAGAAATTCCATTAACCGGAATTTCCAGCTGGCCAGACCGCGCGGGGGGGGGGGGCCTTGTAAGTGGCGGGCTACGCG